GCGCCGGCCCGCGTTACATAAATTTGGCCTGAGCTACTTAAATTTTATGTAAATCGTGAGTGAATTGAATGATATTATGTTTTATTTTTAACTTATAACTGTGAAAACAATTATAGAGATGTCTTCAAAGACATTTTAATATGGTTAAAGAAAATGAACGTGCAAGATGAATCTGATATTAAGGATCCAGAAGATGAACCACTATTAGAATCGAAAAATTTACAAACTATGTATTTAAATCTAAGAATGTTAAATGAAACCGCGCATAAAACTTGGACAACGCTTTATACATAAATCAATCAAATAACGCACGCAACAGTTATTTTAATACACTTTTTATAAATTTTAATTGAACACTTTAAAATAAAAAATTAGAAGCGGTTCAGCTGTTGGAACGTGAACAAATTAATGGTTAAACATTATGACCGCGACTAAACTAATATATATTGACGACAGTTATTTTAAGAATAATTTCCTTTTAATTTTTATTAATTATTCATTAGGTTTGTCAATTGAAGATTTATAATTTCATTCGTTTAATCTTGCAAGAGTGCATATAAAAAGAACCTATCACATTTTCTTAAAAAGATGTCGGATTGGTTTGAATTTAGCTTCTGATAATCAAATAAACCGTATGACGTTCTAATGTTATTTGCATTGAAGTGATATTAGTAATGATTATCAAGTTTGATTAATCCATCCCATTTACAATTGATGGTTTTCTTTCTCTGTTTTCTCACGTGCATTTTTAATTGGCTTGAAAACTTTTACATTAAAAAATTCCTATTTTTTTAAAAAAAAAAAAAAAATGTGAAAAGTGACAATAAGAAAGTGATGATCATACTGCGATAAATATAATAGCAAAATTCATAAACCAATGGGAACTTCAGGTCAAAATTTCACTTAGGATAAAGTCCGACTAAACGTATGTATATAACCTAACATGGAGGGGTGGGTAAAAGTTAACAAATTTTAAATTAAAAAATGATTTGCGTCATTCTCTAACTTTTTTTTTACGAGCGAAAAATCCATACCGTTGATCCAGGAGCAACCCTCATACTATTTTCCTTTATTTTCCCTGGGTGTCATCATTTCCATCATGATTACGCCATCACAATCCCTTATCGATATAAAAATGTCCATCATTGAATTAGGTTCTGCAAATCTTTAAGGAATGCAACATAAAAATGAATTAATAATTGAATATATAAAGAGGAGGAAAAAAAAATTTTTTTTCCTTCGCAAACCTGAACTATACTAATTGAGGTAAGATCAGAATTACTGCGTATTTTACTCCCGGCTGGAATTGTTCAAGAAAGGAAAGATCTATTTGATTATCAAAGAATCAACCCCTTTTTATGAACCAAAGATAATTAATGGCAAGATTAAAAATAAACATCCAAAATTCTTAAATTCGTTTAATGTTTTGATGACGTTTCAACATTTGATAAAACCAGACATTCCAAGAATTCTGAACTCGATTTCTAATCTTACCCGCTCGTAGAATGGCCCTATTGGCTAATGGGAGTCTAGATTGCGAAAGGAAATTTAAAGCTAGAGTTAGTTCATGAAATTTAAGATAGACTAATTGATAAGACCATTTTTTTTTTTAAAAAACAAATTCTCAAATTTCATATCAAGGATAAAATCCTTTTTTTTGAAATCCTTTTTGAATTAAACTAGTAATGGAACAAGCATATCAACGAGCTTTTATGAACCCTTACAATATTCAGATATCACAGTGAACTAAGGATCGTTGCAAAGCAAATCCTTTTTACCAATTCGAGTTAACCGTCAACGTTTCGGTAAATAAAAGGTCATATTTTGTATGATTTTCCGTGGTACCTTGTCCAACCCGCCACCATTATAATTGCCAAAAACGTCTGAAACCGAGTCGATCGTACTAGCCAAAACTTGCCTGGTCAAGAAATTCAACGGACGACTTAAAATCGTAATGAAAAAAAAAAAAAGGATAGAATTCCTCGGAACTAGCTGATATTGGTTTGGAAAAATGTATTCTTTTTCTTTTTTCTTAAATTTTATATTTTTTTTTTTTCTGGGCACAAGAAAAAAAAAAGGGGGGGATAAGAAATGAAATTTACTTTCCTATTATTAAGAAGGCGGTAAATATTTACAATTGATGCATGATAAAAATATCGTGATTTTTAAAGTTGCATAATCTATTTTCAAAGGTTCTCAGGTCAGGTCCTCCTCTTTTTTTTTTTTTTTTTGTTTTTTTCTTATGGAATAAAAAGGATTTGAAAACGTTTTTTTAATTTAATTTTCCGAAAAAAGAAAAATAGCAAAACATTTTGACATTATGCTCGAAAACCCGAATGTAATCCCATCATTTGTCATTTTTGGTTAATCGTTGTGAGGGAATTCATAACGAAAAAGAGGCGCAAAAAAATGTTTAATGGTTACCCCGCCTAACATCCGATTCCCCAATCCCGCCAAATTTCCACGTTTACGTTTCAACTTGAACGGTTTTATTTCAAAAACAAAAAAAAAACATTAAAAATAATTATATACATATTATTTTCTCATGCATATTTTTTTTAAAGTTGATTTTTTCCACACAATAATAATAAAAAACGCCACCCGCTTCACAATGACACCTTGACATTCAAAAATCTATCATGATAAATACATATATATCCAATTATCATATCATATCATATCATAACATACGATCTTAGATTAAAAATTTAATTAAGACAATAATATAAACGGTTTATGATATTGTTGAGAAAATTGGAGATAGTTTGGATGATGGGAAACTCGTCGTCGAACCTGTCAAATGGAAATATCACAAAAACACAAAAAACACAAAAAACCTGGGGTTACTCAAATATCTAAGCCATTTTAAAACCAAATAGAAAAAGGAAAAGATTAATAAGAAAAAAAATTGCCCAAGTTATTGTCTTTCTTTTGAACTAAAAAAAAAAAGTTTCAAAAGAAAATGCTTTTGTTTGTTTGTAATTCTCACCCGTGTAACCGCATGTCATGTGAATGCCTCTTTTCCTAAATCACGTTTATCCATCAAATGTAAGAATTTACTGTGCATGACATTACATTTCTTTCTTATTTCTTCCATTTCGAAAAAGTATATTTGTGTTAATTTAGCTAATTAAAATAATAATAAAAATAATTAATGTCAAAAACCATTTAATAAGTATCTAACACGTGGCATGGGAAATTTTTTTGCTTTTGATTTTCAATTGAAGGTAAAACCAATTTTCATATGGAAATCTTTTTTTTATCTTATCTTATAATCCTTTCTAACTATTGTGAATATCGTACCAAGATAACGAATCATATTACGAACTCTTTCAATGAGGTTTATTCAACGAATAAAGATTAAATTCAAAAAAAAAGCCTTAAAAGAATGAGGTTTGGTTAATCAAAAATCCTATGACTCCATGTTCATTGTAATTCAAATCCATCCCATTTCAGCAGAAGTGGATGTAAATCATTTAAAAAGATAAATTTGTTTTCCTTTTCTCTAAGCCAAATACTAATTTTATCATTGTCCTCCGAAATCATAACGCTAAATGTCGGGTTATCTCATGGAAAATCTTTTTTTTTTTTTATAAATTTATGTATATATATGTATATTATATTTATTCATTTACGTTTTTATATCTCATTTTGAGCGTGGAAATATTTTGTAATAATAATCACCATTTATTGACAAATCTTTTTACAAAGTCCGAAACACCAATCAAGTTAACAACTCGTTATTCTTTTAAAACAAAAAAAATAAAAAAATTTATTAAAAGCATGTGTCAAGCATATGCAAATCTTCTAAAAACGAGCTCAATTTGATTTTAAGATTGCTGCGGTATGTCCATTGTAATTCCTGCAACTTTTTAATTGTTACCGAGAATGGTCATATCATTCGCTAGCGATTCAACAGGAACGAGAAAAAGACAAAGGGAAAGGAAAGAAAATGAAACGTGAGAGAGAAAAAAAATATGTTGATTACTTTTGAACCTTTATGGCGCAGCGAATGCTTCTCATCTTTTTTATTGTACCCTTAGATGCAGGCGACCCTGTCTTCTGAAATCATTATGCTTTATCCTACATTATTTTCTATTATTTTGAACAATAAATTACGACCACGGACGATATATTTGGTAGGATACATTTCACGCGTCACGCGGGTACACCCCAATATATTTAGAAAAAAAATTTTAAAACTTTACAAGTGTGAAATAAAAACGCCAAAAAATATTTTTAAAAAAAAAAGTATTTATTACGATGAATCATCATATTATAACGCCAAATTACCAAACTCGTTTTTTGCCATCGCAAAAAGAGTAGCGATGTCATCCCGCGTTTTAAATATAAAAAAATTTTTCACGTCATAATCGTCACACGGAGGAAAAAATTGTAGGTATAACGGTTTATAATTTTTTATTAAGTAAAAAAATATAAAAAATTTTTTTTTTTTTTTTTTTTTTTTTTTTTTTTTTTTTTACAAAAATAAAGAAAATGATTTTTTGTGAAATAAACACTAACTGAAATTAATGAATATTAAAAAAAAGCTTTGTACAATGTTTTCGAAATTTTTTTTTTTTTTTTTTAACAATAAATTGAAAAAGTAAAAAATGTAAAGAAAATTTCAGAAAATAAAAAAAGTTTATATAAAAAAAAAAGCGTGAAAAATGAAAAAAAAATGTACAGAATGAAGGGGAATAAAAAAAAAATACAATGAATATGCGAAAAAAGTTCATACATATTTGTAAAGTACTTTTTAAAAAAAAATATGCTCAAATGTAAAATTGAATTCGGTGGAGGATCGAAATTATTGTTGAAAAGATATGAACGAGATAAAATAATAAACTACTAATTTTTGATAAGATATAAACGATGTCTATTAGATTAAGATTAATCTAAAAATTAAAAATAAAATAAAAAAAAAAAAATCTAATTAAAAAACTTTTTCGAACGGGGGGGGGGTTGCCGACGTTATGAAGAAGGATCTCCTTTTCTCTTTAAGTGTAGTGAAAACGCACACCGCCAACCAACATTTCATCATAAGATTCCATTTCGATGTCAATCGACACATCTTTCTTTTCTTCGACACGAATTGCAGTCCAGCATTCGTCAGTAAATTTTTCTAAATTCGGAAAACTCGTATATTCCATTGATTGATCGGACGTTGAAGAAAATAATGAGGTGGGAGTTGTCGGCATTTCGCTATCGGGCGTTTGTATTGAAGATGTCGTTGAAGCCAAGCTCATCAACGAATGTTGACTTGGAATGGACGTTGATATTGAATTAAATGACATCGAATGTATAAGGGATGGACCTAAGGAACGTCGTCGTTTATGTATTGGAATGTAAGAAAATGTCGGTTGTCTATGTAATGAATGACTTTGGTCAAACGGATCCGGAGATATCGAACTTGAGGAGGAATATGAATGAGGCGATGAAGAGAGCGTTGGTACTTGGTTATTATTATTATTACTATTACTACTATCACTATTGGTGTTGTTACTGTCGTTCATGTTGTTAAGGTCTTCCAACATTTTGCGAGACACGCTAACTGGCATGGTCTTGGATAAAAATTGTTGCATCTTGAAAAGGTTTTATATTTTTTTTAAAAAAAAAAACTGGGTTAGAAGTGGCTCTAACAAGTTGGGCTTGGATTGAGGTTTTTTTTTTTTTTAAAAAAATTTCTTTCGTCGTAGTTATTGATCTGAAAAAGCTCTGCTTAGTTGAGAACCCTATTCTCTGATTATTATTAATTTTTTTTTTAAAAAAAAAAAAAATTTTTGTTCAATTTTTCTCAAGCAAGAAAAAATAAATTCACGACAAAGCTGAGGACTATATATATACAATTTATATATATGGTTTATTTAAAAAAAAAAACGCCCTATTTTTTTTATAGTGTGAAAATTTTTTTTTACTACAGTAGTTAAATGCTTGTGGCTTGCTGTTTTGTTTGGGATTTTTTTTCTATTCAAAAATAGGGGAAGGATTAATTCCAAAAAAAAAAATTAAAATGTAAAAGCATTTTCAGAACAGGATTTTTAAAAGTGGTTTATATAGTTGTATTATTTATACAATGTATTTTAAAATTATACATTAAACTAATATAATGGTGATGTTCTAATTGATAGTGATTATATGTGGTAAGATTACCACATATGTAGAACTCCCTCAATTTATTTATAATCATTTTCATACATTCAATACAAAAGAAAATCGTTATTTTCCAGGAGTTTCGATTACACAATTTTATTTGTTCTAAAAATATGGTATGGTTAAATCACAGTGTCACTAGCTGAAATCAACCAAAGACCGTCATTCTCTGTTGTTTTGCCCGTGGCCAGAGAACAATCTTACCTAATCGGATCACCCATTATCTCGATGCAGGTCATGTGATCTTCTGTCCTTTTTATCTCATATAATGATGGACATGAAACATACATTTTCCTAGTACTTGGTGATAAATCATACGTCCCGCCAATTATTAATCGTCCCTTTGCATTACTTTAATTTCTATTTTCTATTCATAAATGTATTACAACTACGAAACGATAAAAATTAACAACGATTTAAAAAATCATTAAAACGAAAATGATCGGAAATAAAATGTTTTGGCGAACAACACATTTTGGTCATGCACTGGGTAAATAAAAATAAAGACGACGTGTCACCTGACCGTTTGGTGATAACTTTGAACGGAAAATAAAATTCTCCGAACGACGCTAAACCTATCCGGTGTTCATTACTTCCTAAACGATTCCCCTTAATTACAAAGAATTTTTTTTACTCAAATGCTCTGGGTGAAAATTAAGATATCATGACATCACCGACATGATTTTGCATGTCATAGTTTCTTTTTTTGGTCATTTTGCGAGGGTTCTCTTAATTTCCTTCTTTTGATTATCTTGGTTGGGATGTTCCATTCAAAAACCATCACCTGCAACCCATTTGGTCTTTCCAAATCATAAGGGTAATTCCCGTTTTTACCGAGTCCACCCATCAAAACTGTTTTCCTTGCGACAATTGCTGCGGCGTAAAAATCCTTTTTTTTTTGTTGTTGTTGATCGGAACCTTCCGTGGACCAATGATGCACTTGCGGAAGTACCGTCATTTTTATGATGTTTGAGAGAAAGGACTATTAAGCCATGGCCGAACCATAAGACTCAAAATAAAACCAACAACGTAAGACCATCTGGTGAATAACAAATCCAGCACCAAATCTGTGTGTGAATGCATGATGCAAGTACGTGTAATATAAATCACGTGAAAGAAACAATAATTTGTAAACGTACCATCATTGGATTCTCATTAATTGTTGTAAATGTTGTACCTCCCTTTTGATAATTCACTTTTAATTATTATTTAATAAAGAATGAGTAGGACAGGTATTGTTATGACGGCTGGGTTACAAGACCACCACATAAAATTCTTTTTTTGTTTACGGCCAATAAGTTTCCCGGAATGTTTGAAAAAAACCCCCCCCTTGAAACGGTCTTCTGCGCCATATCAAAGAAAAATTTTAAGGTTTCAACCTTTTTCTTTATGGTTTAGTATACGTCCAATGATTTTATTTGATTCTATTTTAATAACCATAACCCTTCCCTTCTATTCGCCTATATAGGGTTCGAATATTGTAATCGCTCCTTAAATGTTGTTATTGCATGACCAGTTTCAATGATTTATATATTCTTTTTTTTTCCATGGTACGTAATATCTTATCATCATGATTTAATTCTCTCAAGTTCACTTTATACCTTTATTACTTATTCCTTTTTAATAAATTTAATTGATTGTTTTATCATAATATCTTTTTACTTTGATGCGAAATTAAATTTCAAACAATCTAATTTAACCATTTAAATTGGATTTCCAAATTGTTTCCGGACCTATTACTATTTTATTAGAAATTTTAAGGCATTAAAACAAATTGTCATCCCGTTTGATCACACGTGCGACTTTTAAAATTTATGATTCGCTTATTATTAATTATCCTAATTAGGTCGGTAGGTAATAACGTTTCCGTGGAATAACGTTAAAGTTTAACCATGTGATTAAATTATTTATCATAATCGGTTTCTTCCCATATTTGTCCGTAACGGTTTAGTGGTATACTCTTCGAAACCATTTAAAGAGAAATCTTTGGAATGTTGAGTAACGACTTTGGGTTGTCATTTGACTGATGCCGTGTGACGAGAAATCGTGCACGCGAATTGGTTTTTTTTTTTTTTTTTTTTTTTCGCAAAAATAGTGTAAAAATAAAAATCATGATGTCAAAGGTTGGTTGGTTCCGGTATATATAAATTATTTTTAAATTTAAAAATTAATATATATTAATAATTATTAATTTTAAAAGTTTAAAAATACTACTATTAGATACATTATAATGATAAATCTAAAAATTTTATTTCATCTTTTTATAATTATTAAATATTAAAATATTTAAGTTCCTAAAATGTTTTAAAAACAATTTTATATTTATAGTTTGAGGAATAGTCAATCTGAATTTCAGCATAATATAACATATGTTTAGCTTGAAATTTGTTAGTCCAAAAATAAGAATATTCAAGTAAAGTTAAATCTTATATTTTTTGTATACAGAAAATGCAAATACATTTTGCAAAAAAATTAAAATCAACTTAATAATCTTCTATCAATTATAGATATTGTAAATTTTTTTTGATATCAATATCAATAATATTTTTATTATATTAAAATATTCTTACTTGTAAAGATTCTAAGTTAATATTAGTAAACAATTCCATTAATTATATTTATAAATTAGATTATTATTTTAAATATATTATATGAATATCTTGTTATAAATATAAGTAATTTGAAAGGTAAACTTAAAAATAAGTATTAGTTTCTTATTATAATATTAAATATTAATTTTAGTAATATAATAATTAAATAAAAATATATACTTTATTAATTTTATTAGAAGAAAATATTAAGTTAATTAAGAAGTTTTAAAATAATTCAATTTTAAATTTGAATTTTAAAAATTTTATTATAAAAAATTTTTAAAATTTCTTAAAAATTCATATATTTATAAACTGATTAAATATTTTACTACTAATAAAATTAATAAAATTATAAATATAATAATTAAAGTTATTCTTTATAATATATTTTCTAAATTTTTATTATAATTAATATGCTAAAAGTAAATTTTAATAATTTTGTCAAAGTTTAATGATAAATTTTTAAAATTACAAATTTTTAGCTTATACGTAACTTAGAATTTTTATTATATTATTAAAAAATAAAAAATTATTATAATATTTATTATTTTAATTATTAATTCAGATATCATTACAGGATAAACAATTTAATTATTTGTAATGGTTAAGTTAACTTTATATTAATCTTTTAAATTTAATTATTTATTATTATATAATTAAAAATATACTTGAAATAAAAATAAAAAGTATAACAAATAATCATTAAAATTTATTTTTAATTAATAAATTGATATTTTTTACATTTTTTTTAAAAATATTTATAATTATTATAATCATAAAAGATATAAGATTTAATTCATTAGTTAAATTTTTTAAATTCTTAATACTAAATATATTTGTTTCTTCTTTAATAATTATATTAAAATTAATAATAAATAAATAGTTTAATTTTTATTTATAATAAAAAAATATAAAAATTTATTTTTATAATATTATGATAAATTATTAAGATTATATATAATTAATTATTTAAAAGGTTAATATATTATGTTAATTAAAATTTAATTATTAAGATTTTATTAATAAAAAAATAATATTAATAAATTTATTAATGCAAAATATTTTATAAATCCTATATTTTATATGATTACATAAAATTATTAGTTTATTAAAAGATTTATATATATATAATTTTTAAAAGTTTATAATGTAAAGATTTATAATATAAAGTATATTAAGTTAACAAAGTATAGTACATTAAAATTTTAATATTATTAATATTAGTATCTGATGAAATTAATCCTATTACATTATAAAGATCAATAAAAATTAATATTATCAATATTTTTAATTTCTTTAATATAATTAATATTTTTATATTATTTATATTTATCTTATATATTATTATTATTTATATTATTATTTATTATATTTTTATTATAATTAAAATATATTTTATAAAATATATTTTATTTATTAAACTTAATATTATAAATTATTATATATTAAATAGTATTAAATCATATTAAATAGTGATCTTTTATAATATAATTAGAATACAAAATTGCTCTTGTAAATGATAGAGATAATAATAATAATTTAAAAGTATAAGTTAAAACTTAAAATCTAAGGTTAAGAATACAATTTCTACAATAAAAAAATCTCTTTCTAAACTATATATATTATTTTCCTTTAATATATCATTGTGTTTATTATTCTTATATTTATTAAAATTATTATATTTGTCTAAATAGTTATAAACTTAAGATTAATTATATATAAATTGTTTTATAGTAACTTAATAGTTTCTTGTATGTTAATCCTATTATTAGTTATTATTATCTTAAATTTAATAAATTAAGTATAAAGTTAATAATGTTAAAAAATAATATCAAAAATAATCTGCAAAAGTTAGTAAATATAATTTATATAATATGATTATTTGAAAATAATATTATATCAAATAATTGCATAATAAAAATTAAATTATTTAATTTTTTTTATAATTTATTTATAACTTATTTCTTCTGTTTTTTTTATAATTTTTTTTAATTTATTTAATTACTTTATTTATTTTTATTATTTTTATTATTTATATTATATTATAATATTTATTTCATTTTGTAATAAATATCTTTATTTAATTAACTTATAATATTATTATTATCTCTTAAACTATAAATATAAAATTGTTTTCAAAATATTTTAGAAAACTTAAAATATTTTGATATTTAATGATTATAAAAAGATAAAATAAAAATTTTAAATTTATCATATTATGATATATCTAATAGTAGTATTTTTAAACTTTTAAAATTAATAATTATCAATATATATTAAATTTTTAATTTTTAAAAATAATTTATTATTTAATAATTATATAAATATAAATTTATTTATTAGATTCATTATATTAAGACTTATTAAATAATAGTATTTTTATATTTTTGAGATTGATAGATAGCAAGATATATGAGATTAAGTTTAAAATTGTAATTTTTTTTATAATAATTTATTATTTATTTAACTTTAAAAAAATCACTAGTTAATTACATTTTTTTTTTAATTTTTATTTAGAAAATATCATGAAATTTATTATAAAAATATGAATTTTTTTAATAATATATTTTAAAATATTTAAAAATAATTAAAATTGCTTACAAATTTGTTAGTAAAATAGTTAAAGAGATACCAGTTCTTTTAAGTTATTAATAATATTATATTAAGTAAAAGGTTTTCTTCATATAAAAAAATAAAAAGAATAAAGGAAAATAAAATAAAATTATATGTAAAAAATTAATTAACAAATAAAAAACAGATTGTTTTTATTAGCATATCTATATTAAACAATTTATTTATCAAAATTTATTATAAAAAATAAGTTTTATTTTATTTATTTATATTATCAAATTAATAAATAATATAATAAGATCTATTTTTATTATAAAATTAAACTAACAAAATTAAGAAATAAGAATGTAAATTATTTGTTTACCTATTTTGGTTATATTTTTACAAATAATTTTACTATTATATGAATTTAATTTTCTTTAACTTTTGTAAATCATTTTATATATCTTAAGGATTAGTATTATTAAGCTTAACTATTTTTAGTGTTAAAATGAATCATCAAACCTTCTTATTTAATAAGAAACTGATCTATAATTCACCATCAAATAAGTATCAAAAATTCATCAATGCTTATGTGTATAATATTATGATTAAAACTGAAAATGGTACCCTAACTAAGATAATATTTATTGTGAAACTACAAAAGAATGAAATAAAATTAAAAGTAAGAGTAAATCAGAAATTAATAAAATAATTAAAGATTATTTGACTATATCATATAATCTATATGACATAAGATAATGAGGCCAAAATGTCTTATATTTAGAGAAGATTCAACTTCTCCTTCTAGTCTTTC